TAAGACCAGTGTCGGACTGGCCAGATCCCAAAAGTCCTGAGCTTTTTTGTTGTTGTTGGTTTACAAGCAGGACCCCACGAATCGGGGTAAAAAAAGCGTCACATACACGGTAACAAGATTATTATTTCAACCGTATTTTAGTTGTTTTTTTTTTACAAACACATTCATTAAACTTTGAATTCAGATCTAAATCGTTAGTTGGTTTACAATTCAATACAACCCGATAACGTTTCGGCGGCCGGTGTGTTTGAGGATGATATGCCTAGGCATAAAAAATATAAGCCCCAGAGGAAAACTGTTTCCAAGCCCCTAATCCTTATATGCCAGGCTTACTTGAGTTTTGAGTATAGCTATGTACCTACGTTCTACGTGGTCCTACACAGTTCATAGTTTCGAATTGAACAATTTAATAAGAAATTATGATCAAAATAAATAATAATCAATTAAAATTAAAATTAAAATTAAACAATAATTAATTTTCAAACTATATAAATCATTAACATAGTTAATGCCATTGGAGGTGTTCTAGTGGGCGTGTGGGAGGTGTGAGCCCTTAGACAATAACTGTATATCCAATACATGATCTAAGGCTAAGCCCGTCGAGCCGTCTCCCACACTAGTTATTATTGCGAACATGGGAGCACGGGCGCTTGGAATATAGGTAAGGTGTTTATAATTAATTAACATAAAAAAAAAAAAATAGTCAAATCTAACTTAAACGGAGTGATAAGTGGCAATTAGCAAGTATATGGTAACTCCTATATTAATTAGAAAAGAATTTATTCAAAATCTGTAAGTATACAACTCTAAAGACCACATTTACAAGTATAATTGAATTTTTTTAATTTAATGATTAGTCTGTGACGATATATAATTATTTTTTCAAAGAGAACTTATAGGTTCTAGGTAGCTTTTACTACAAATTGTTAATCGACTGCTGATTTTTATTGAAAACGTTAACGCATTTAATTCGAAATTCGTACGATTGTGAACTAACTATGCACTATGAATAATAATAGGTAGTATAAATAATAAAATTAGCTATACAAATATGTAATATTTAGTCTTGGACCTATTATAATAGGTACTTGAACAATTAGACAGTTGGACTGGACTGGGCGTTGAAAACTTTTATAAATTGTACAATTTTAACAATTTTAACAATTTATTTCAACAAATTTAGACTAATTAATAATTGCTATAATTTTCAAATTTGTATAGCCTTCATATATATCTTTTAAACCTATTGAAATGCACTTTGGACTATAATTTTTATTTGTAAATATAGGTAGTCATTATTCTTTCAAAAAGGTTAATTTTTCAAAAATTAGAATTTAAAAAAAAATTGGGTTGAGCAACGCATTATGCAGAATCAACCATGTGCTATTATTTTTAATATCAGAATGAATTTACCTATTATCAAACTCTAAGCTAAGAAAATAATAACCCGTCTTTTTAAGTTGGCTTTTTTACGATATTTTAATTTTTAAACAATTTATAACTATAACCATTTTTAAATTATAATATATATTAGGTACTATCTCATAACTTACATACAAATTAAAATATCATAAAATAGTCTAAGTAGGGACACATGTATTGTTCTCAACTAAAATTTTGATAGCAGGTGAATTTACTCCAATATTAAAAGTAGTAATACGGGATTGGTTCTGCTTAACGTAAATTTGCTATATGTTGCTCGTGCGGGTCAGAGAAATAAAACATTTAGTGCTCAAACAAAAGAAATCTAAATATTTTTCTAATAGGTTTTAAATTTTTTTTGTCACTGCAACTAGTTTATTTAGTATTTATGAGATGCACCATGCACGTGATGCACAATTATGTGGTAGAAAAAAAGAGAAGTCAATGTTTACGACCTTGAAATGTGACTTTTCTTATTACCTACCTGGCTACCTATATTATTATATAAAAATATGTTTATAGCATAGTGTAATGTGTGGGTAATCGGGTAATGTATACTACTATACTACACTACTACTGTGTACTATATGTGTCTATGTGTCTATGTCCAGTATGTCCTATAATAGTAGAATAGTACCTATACTATCTATTGGTTAAATTATAGTCTATAATGCTATAATGCTAATATGCTATACGGGCATACAGCTTGGTATACCTATTTAATATTGTTTATAAATTATAATATAATATACTAATACAGTAATACCTATATGGTACATCTCAAGATTCGAAGATACAGCAAAAATGGTTATCGAGAGTTAGAATCTAACAACATAATATATTAGGAATACTTTACCTAGGTACCAGTCTACCTATAGTAACTATAATGCTGAAAAATAAATTCGACTTATTTTCCGTGTAAATACGACAGACACAAAACTTTAACACTTCAAGGGTTAAAAAAATATTCGAGTTATCGTCTATATATCGAGAATCGGCGTCAACTATATAAGAATTAATAATACACAATAGATTCTTTGATTGTATCGTTAATATTAGGTGTATAGTATCTGTGTATAATATATAATAAATTAATATGATGATTGATAATATAGTGTTACGAGGACGTCAATTATGAGTTATAACTTGGGGTACACCATGAGGGGGATTGGGAAACTCCTCCAATTTGGTATTTTTTTTATACAAATATATAGATAACTATATATAGGTAACCTATATAAAAATGAGTATACAAATAAATAATTAAAACAATATTTTGATAATGTATACATATTACATATATACTGTGTGTCCGCGAAAACTGAGTAGTGAGTAGGTACGCTCTAGAACTCAGTTACTCACATAGTCACATCATATTACTCAGTACTATATACATAGGTTATAACTTTATAAGTCTATACCTGCAGGAGATTGATGATCCAATTTTTCGTTTTATGTCCCGTAAACAGAATTCAAAAATATGTATAGGGTACTGACTACTAAGTAATATTGGTAATTTAATTATTCAGCACTTATACCCTGTTTTTATGGACACACGGTATAAATATTAACACGTTTATTCAAAACTGTTTACACTCAAAAAAGCATCATCGTAATGTAGAATGCGTGAAAAGGACCTCAACGCCACGTAGATAGGTACCTATTCATATTTCATATCTCAAAATCAGAAAATGTTTTCACAATTCTACTATTTTATCTATGAATCTATGATTAGAATCCACTATTTCACTTGTCAAGGAATTTCTTTGAAAGAATATAATATTACCTATGTCTTTATGTATACCTAATTATCTGTATTTTATAATTTACACAATTGTATACTATTACCAAATTGTTATAATATCTACCAGAATCCATTTATTCTTGCACACTTAACTCAGTAAACATTCCAGGAAATCCGCCGAGAAGACTCAAGAGACCCTGGTGTTGCGATTTGGCTTGACTAAACTGACAAAAAAAACATAATAAACTCATATTTTACTATATGCACTATGCAGTGTATGTAGAATAGCAGTCTAACAAATTTATTGCGTATGATTGTATTACTGCTGTATACTGGCAGTGCCGTGCTAACTTTCATTGACACCCCTGGGCAATAATATTTGGCACCCCTATTAAACGTACATATATTTAAACATTTGCCGCTCTAGAGCACTTGTCACATTCGCCACCTCCTCGGCGCGGGTCTGGCCGCTGGGATGTACAAGGTGTCCCGTGAGGATTTACGCACTGCGATATCTCCTGAAATAATGTGGATATCATAATTCTGGATTTTTATTAAGACTCACAGAGATAAGCTACACAAATAATTCATGTTATAATTTTTTTTTTATGTTTCGGTAAAAAAGTTAAAAAATATAATTTTTTTATTAATTATTAAAAAAAAAATTGAAGATAGCCATTTTGTAGAGTTTATTTCTCTGAAAATGTTGACGTTACAACATTTTATTTTTATAAATTCCCTGATTTTTAATCAATTTTTAAGTTAATAGGTAAAACAGAAAAAACCGGTTTTTGTACAGGCGGCGAGTGCCCCTCTACGGCTAATGGGGATTAAATCCTCACGGGACACCCTGTATACTATATAGCTATTCTCTCCCCGAAATTTCGGGTCATGTTTATTTTTGTTGACATATCATGTGTATAGCAACTGTTATTACGGATTTTACATATTCCGATGAAATACGTTTAAAAAATGAAATATGATGTTGCAACAAACGGCACGTTTTCGCGGTAGACCGTAGAGCATGGCATGGCACGCGTGTTCTGAGTTTTAGCTCCGAAATGTGGACATTACTTATAAATTTTATAGCGCGTAGGTACTTCCAACTCCGTACAGTTTTCTCATCAATTTTTTATTGCACAACAATACGATTTGAACCTAAGTCAGAGTCTGAAGAATCAAAAACAAGATAGTTATACCGTGTTGCACAGAAAACGTCGATTAATAGTTCACTAACAATTTAATGCACCATTCATGAGCCACTCGGCCACTAAATCTTGTTCAAGAGACCATTGGCTCACCGTCGATTGATTAGATGTTCAGAGCAACCCGGCATTAGTTGAGTTGGTTTCTAACCGAAACGCGGCAAATGTTTAATGTATGTGTGACCGTTAATGGCGGGATCGTTGGTCACAACTCATAATTCTTACACAATTTGTCATCGTCACACTTTATAATATGTCTCCGCGGTGAGCAGTGGGAAGTGCGAAGTCCAGAGTCCGGACACACGTTCGTCCCACTTCCCAGTCCCGTGTATAATAGACGAGTAGACAGACGACCAGTTTTATTGTCCGATTATCTCGATAAGACAAATTTTCAAATTCAATATTTTCGGTTTTCCAACGGAACCAGTAGCGTGCGGAGACCTTGGCCACCATTCCACGGTGGAGGGGGGGATTGGGGATCACGGTTTCGCGAGTCGCCGCCACCACGGGCAATTTCAGAATTCTGAAAGGGGGGGACGCGCGCGCGATACGCCGCCTTCGTCGGGTTGGCAAGCCTGTTGGTTGGCCCGCGGTGGTACCAGGCTGTTGTCGATTTGTTTTGATTATCCGATAATGTGAAAAAATGTTTTTCTCGTTCCCGTAGGGCTACAGACCTACAGTATAGTTTTTGTCGGTTTTCGTTCTCGCGTCGTTGTTCGCGCTCACCCGCGCGTTATCCGACGACAGCCGCCGCTGACGCTGCCGCCGCCGCCGCCGCCGCCGACTACGACGACGACGACGACGACGACGACGAAGACCATCGCCGCGACGACGACGACGGCGACGCCTCGCTCCCGAGTGTGCCGACAGTTTCCGTGCTTCAGTCGTTTCGTTTTCGCGCCCAATCGCCATGTAAGGAACCTCCGGGCAAAAGCTCCTCGGCGTAACGGATAGCGTCTCGCCTACTACTGCTCCCGCCCGATTCCCGGAGCCGAAGCGGTCCGCTTGTTCACCGCCGAATATTATGCGTTTTGGTTCGACCGCAGACGCCGTCGATCAAACACAGAGTAAGTGTCTCGTCCAATCGCCGTTGGATTTATTACTCTACGCTTGCATGCGGCTCGGTGGTTACGGTCGTACGTCGGGGCTGTTGGTGACCGTTACCGCCGGGCTACCTCCGATCAAGGGGCTGGAGGGACCCGGTGAACTTAACTCCCGCGTATTTCGCCGCACGGTAGGCCCAATGCGCTTTTGGCAAATTTTTTTATCCCTTCCCCCCACCACTTCAAAGCTGGCGACGGACCGTCTACTACCCATCCCTTGTCCATCCCTAGACCACAGGTTCTATGCTTGCACAAGGGGGCTGTTATACCCGCTCGAATGGACACTGTTTGCAACAGTCTGTGCTTACTGGCTGCCAATCTTGTGTTGGTCGCAACGCGTAACATTTTTCTTGTTATTGGTATCAATTATCATTCAATATTCTGAATATGTCCTAAAATATTAAATTGTAATTTTCTAATTTTAAACTTTCAGCATTTTTAATCCTCGTGAACACTTATGATCATATTTTACTCTAGTCTCATCTTGATATTACTTTTGTTTATTTTTTATAAAGTTGTACAAGTATTTTTTTAGTGTAAAAATAAACAATTTCCAACATCATTGCACTTTGATATACTTAGACATAAGAAAAATCATGATTGAAAGATCATGATTGGCCAAAACAATAGGTAAATAGCCATCGTATCCAGATTCAGCATACTTATTTGTTCTTACATATTACAAACTCTAGTAAAATAGGAAGTAAAATCAGGAAATAATCAGCTAGTGGCTTATTTTGATAACTGGTCAATAATGTATTATTGGTAGTGTAGTTGTTGGGATTAAAAAAATACTCATAATTTATTTATCAAATGCTCCATAGTGATCTTTACTAGACTTTAATATTATTTTGCTTGACTAAAGTTTTTATGTCCTAATATGACATAATAATTAATATTATAAACAAGTAAAATTAAAATTTACTAAAATTCATACATTTTTTAATTGAACATATTATTATTTTTCCCATTACATTGTACACCACTGTTGAGTTATTAAAATTAAATATTTTATTAAATATTTATTTGGAAAGCTATAAATAATTAATGAGGTACCTAACCTTATTAGATACTTAAATAATTGTATAATCCATTTATATTTACTTTTTGTCGTATTAGGTAAATCAAAATTAGTTATTAGACCCGTTATTATTTTAAAATGTTATGATTTCTTCGAATTATTGTTAAAAGTGCCTTATATAGGAGCTTATATGTTACTTAATTGTAGATTCATACAGGGGTAGATTGGGATATAAATTTGGCCTGGAAAATCTGTGGGTATGCCGGCTGTTTATGAAAAAAATTATACTCCTAGTAAATTTAGTTATACAAACTTATTTTTAGATAATTAATTAGTACAACTAGGTTCTTAAGTTAATGTTTTTGAGCTGCTTGCTATTTTATTGATGAACTCAACTGTGTAAAAATTGAAAAGCATATCTTTTGCAATGGGCATTATTTACATTAACATGAACTCCTCAAGTTACAAGGTAATAGTGAAAGTTTGGAGGATTTGTGTTATCACTAACCACATTTTTTTTAGTTTAAAAGTACTTTGCCAAATGGCTTTTTTCATTTTGGAATCATATGTACTTAAACAAGTCAAGAATGATGGTGTCATCAGAATTCAGAAATTGTTGCTCAGACTTGTCAAACTTCTGGTTACGTTACTATTTAACTTACACGTTATGTTAGCTTAGGTCTATAGTATAACCTAACCTAACCTAACTTGGATGAATGTAGACTATACTCATCCAACTCTCCATCCCAGACTCAGGAGGTGTCTCCCTTCCGCAAGGTCGACTATTTTTTCAACCGAAGGGTTGGGGGACCTTTTCTTAAACTGAGAAGGCGAAAGGTCTATGTGGTACCACTAGGACCTCAAATTTTGCAACCATAAGAAGCTATTACTTATCATACTTGAACTGGCAAGATTACATACAAATATACAATACTAAAAAAACGAAAATTGCGGGAACTTCAGAAAGCTATAATTTAAAAACCAAATATTTCCACAGATTTTTTTTTGCATCATCATTTTTAACTTGTTAGTTTATAATATATCTATTTAGGTCTCTAAATAAAAAAATGGTCCCTCGAAAAGTCGTTTAAAAAATGTGATGGATGATAAGGATAACACAAATACCATCAGCTGTCGCTATTATCTTGTCTCAAGTTTGGATTCAGATAATTCGTCTCTTAACTGATTAACTTGTTCTTAATATACTTTAAAGTTGAAAAAAAGGTAGAATACAGGAGGCCGGCCTACCGGCTCAATCTGTGCCTGGTGGGGGTCATGCATTAAAAATCAAAACTTCTCACTATATTGTATTGCTGTGTTAAATTTAGGCAATAAAATGTTCAATAATAATATTATTATCTCAAAACAAATAATTTACTTGCAGAAGTATTAATTAAATCGTTCCTTGAAAATAATGAGAATTTCTGATAAGACTTGTATTTAATGTTTTTGGTAGTTAACTAGTGAGGGAAAATTAGTTAATTACTTTTTTATCACTCCAATAGTCTAATTACAGTTATGGACATTTTAATTTTGTAATAAATAATGCTATTCCATATTATAGTAGTATAATACATTAACACCATTAGCATTAACCTTTTTAAACTTTCTTAAGTCTTTAAATATGTTATCTCTTGTTTAGAAAATGGACAATGACAAATCAAAGATGTCTAAGACATTGTTAGATAAATCTGACGAAATGGACATTGATGAAGATCCATGTTCTGATGATGATGTGGACAATGGTGCTCCTTTGTTAGATGATGATGATGATGAGGACGATGAAGAGGATGATGATGATGATAATGAAGATATGGATGATGATCCAGATTATCAAGAAGAAGATTGTTCTCGTATTTCTACAGAAGCAGCTTCTATATCAGTGGATGAAACTTCTTCTAATCAAACTCCAATTGATATTGCTGTCAAAACAGATGGTACATTACTTTTATACCCATAGTTGTAAGAACTATACAAACTAATTGTACTAAAAATCTATTTTCAGAAGGTAATTTTGAAGAAACAACATCATGTTCACCTAACAGAAGTGCTGTTACACCTATAACATCTTATGATAGCCCTTTACAAATGAAAAAATTAAACTTAAAAATTAAAAGGTGGAGAAGGTAATAATAAATATTTATACATTTTATAAAAACAGAAATAAATAAGTTTAACATCATTTTTTAAATTTTATTATTAATAGGGAGGATGCTGAAGGTAAATCTCCAAATGTTTCTCGAACTGATGAAAATACTCCTCCTACTTCATCATCGGCCGATCCTACTAATGATGATAGATGTGTATTATATCAAGAAACTTGGTAAATAGTTTCTGATGTTTGTATTTTGATGGTGTAACTAATTTTTTTTATTTTTAGGCCAGGAAAAGTATGTGCGTTTTGTAATTTAGGAGAACGAAGTCAACTTGGACAAGGATCTCTTCTAAGGCTAGATTGGGAAAAAGATTTTAAGTCAACATTAGATGATTTTATTAAGCAATTAGTTACTAAACAATTAACTCCAATGCCATTACAATCACCAACTGCTGAAATGGCACCAATTATACAGTATAGAAGGCAAAAATCTGCTGCCAAATTTAAGTGAGTTGTAATTTTTATAATATTTAATGCTCAACATCTCTAACTCAATTACTTAACACGTTGAACACTAATGTCGATTCGACGTGCACGAGCCCGTCGCCACCGTCGATCGACATGCGGTTGCCTGTAGCAGTGTAGCAGCGTGTATCATTAAATTTAAAATCGAAACCAACTGTTCCACGTAATAAACAATACGCTAATGAATAGCTGACCAAAATTTCAAATGTGTTCGACTATAGCCGGCTATCAAAGTCACAATAACGAACAGGTTACAGAATGTAAACGACGTGTGGACACCGGCTATGCGCGTTCGCCTAGTTGTATCAACGATGCATTGACATCGGCCACTAGCGCCCGTTTAGTCATGTCAACGACGCATTGACGTTGGCGTTTAACGTGTTAACTAAAATATTTTTTTACCAATCAATAACATTTTTTTATTGTACATTTTTGTTGTGTTATTGTTTTTAGACAACAACAATTTTCTCCCTGTAGTTTTGAACCTGTGGATGAGCTTAGTGTTATTGGTCATTTGGATGTTCCTGATTTAAACACGTTATATGAACAATTTGAATCAAATGGTTATGTCTACGTACATCAGTTTTGTGCTACCTGGACTCAAGGTGTAAAGTGTGATACATCTGATTCATTGGAAAATGTGCCTGAACTTATCTTAGAGAGCTTAATGCGACGGTGTTCTTACTGTGGTCACTTAGGTGCCAGTGCTCCATGTACATACACTAATTGTTTGAAATTTTTTCACTATCCTTGTATTTTTGCTTCTGCTTCGTTTCAAGAGATGAGTGTACCAGCTTTAATATGCAATTCTCATCTTGATCATGTTCCTTTAATGGGTAATTATAATACTTAAATTATGAATGAAATTTGTGCTAATTGATTATTTTATTAAAGAACTTTCTGCTAATGTTGCTTGTGGTATTTGCTCGACTCTTGGAGATGTTTCCAATTTAATGATGTGTACAACATGTGGTAACCACTACCACGGTGTTTGTGTTGGATTAGCTCTACTTCCAGGTTTGAATAAATAAGTTATTATTTATTTAATTGTTTTTTTATTGTACATATTTTATATTTTAAGGAGTGAGAGCTGGATGGCAATGTGGTAATTGTCGAATTTGTCAAGTTTGTCGGCAACCAGCCGAACAGACGAAAGTTATGTTATGTGAAGGTTGTGATAAAGCTTATCATCCTGGTTGTTTAAGACCTCAAGTGACAACTATACCTAAAATTGGATGGAAATGCAAAGTAATCACAACATAAATTATAGTCTTTTATTAACTTGACAGTATTATATTTTTTTAATAAATTAATACAAAGTTATATTTATTATTAGAATATCAGACTATACTGACTATTTTTACTATTATTTTATTTCAGTGCTGTCGTGTATGCACTGATTGTGGTTCTCGTACCCCAGGTGCGGGGTTATCTTCTCGGTGGCATGCTCATTACACAGTTTGTGATTCTTGTTATCAGCAACGTAATAAAGGTTCTTCGTGTCCACTTTGCCATCGAGCTTATCGAGCTGCTGCTCATCGAGAAATGGTTCAATGCATCTCATGTCGAAAATACATACATGGTGCTTGTGACCCAGAAGCTGAGTACATAACTAGCCATAGCAAAAGTTCAGCATCTGAGTATATGTGTCCTTTATGTAAAAATGCTGTACAACAACGTCGTGATGGATATGAAGAATTTGGAGACTCAAATAGTTCAATAGATGTTTATCAACCTGAGCATGACTTAGAGTTTAAGGTATTTATTTTTGAACATTGTTATTGATTAAATAAATAAATTTATAGTTAGAAAATACAAAATGTTATATTATATTGTATATAGAGTAATAAAGATTTTGATGATGGTCGAATGGGTGGCTATGGTCTGGGTAAAGGAAAACCATATGCTGCATGCAAAGTAGCTAAGAAACGATTGCTTTCTGGATATGCTGGGCGTGCTAAAGGTTTAGGAAAACTTACTGCAGCATTAAAACCCATGTACCAGAAAAAAGGACAACGTCTTGTTGAGTTTCCCAGAAAGAGACCTCGAGGAAGAATGCGAGGCATTTTCGGTGTTCCTGGTCTTGGATTACAAGTTAGTTGTTAAGAATTTTTTATAAGTTTTAACACTTAAAACTTTAAAATTATTTTGCAGAGACCTTTATCTGATGTAAGCTCCAAAACTTCTTCAAATGACATTGACCCTAACAACGAAAATCGAATTGTTTTATGCTCAGCTAAAGATAAATTTGTACTTGGTCAAGATATATGTGTTATGTGTGGATCTTTAGGCACAGATCAAGAAGCATGTCTTATTTCTTGTTCGCAGTGTGGTCAATGCTATCACCCTTTTTGTGTTAATGTTAAAGTGAGTTGTTGCGAGTTAAAATTTTCAAGAATACAGTTTTTCTTAATAATATGATCTTATAGGTAACCAAAGTTATTCTTCAAAAAGGATGGAGATGTTTAGATTGTACAGTTTGTGAAGGCTGTGGACAACGTAATGATGAGTCTAGACTTATACTTTGTGATGAATGTGATATTTCTTATCATATTTATTGTACTGATCCAAAACTTGATTATGTCCCCAGAGGAACTTGGAAATGCAAATGGTTAGTATGATTAATTAATTAAATTTTTATTTTTCAAATGAAATCAAAAATATTGCTTTTGAAGGTGTGCTCAATGCTTGACATGTGGTTCAAATGATCCAGGCTTCAATTGTTCTTGGTTGAATAATTATACTGAATGTGGACCTTGTGCTTCTCGTAGTATTTGCCCATCATGTCAAGAATCATACACTGATAGTCAATTGATTATTAAATGTTCCCAGTGTGATAGGTAAATTTTTTATTTTTAACATAATTGCAATTATAATTTTATATTATAATTTTTATGTATTATTTTCTAGATGGCTTCATGGAAAATGTGATAAAATCGAAAATGAAGATGATGCAGAAAAATGTGCAGAAGATGGATATAGTTGCTTACTATGTCGTCCTCGTGGGACAGTTCCAGCACATTTAGCACACGTCTCAAGTCCTAAAATTAAACAGAAAATGTCATCACGTGATAATAGTCCAGATGCAACTAAAGGGATAATAAATGAATATTGTATGGATGGAATTTATTTGTCTGAATCAGGTGTTCAACATATGAAGGTTCTAACCAGTGGTATAGAAATTTTACATCAACGTAAAAAGCGAAAAGATTTGAAAAAAGCACAAATGGAAAAAGAAGCTGCTATAATGGCAGCTATTGAATCTGTTGTGTGTAATAGTAGAGGTATAATTGTTCAGTTTAATTTTTTTCTCATTTAAAAAAAATTTTTTAATTTTTTTTCAGATACTATTAATGATTCTTTAGATCATGATGATGCTTATAAGATGGATTTTGATGATATAAAGGAAGAACCAAGTGAACCAGAACCTATTTATAAAGAAGGGATGATAGTACCACCACGTGATGATGGTCGTCCTCCTGAACCACCTGAAGGTTTTAGTATTTTGACATTAGAAACAGGTGTAATGGTTCTGCGTCGAAAACGAGTTAGAAATCTTCAAAAATTAGGTATTGGGGGATTTGTTGTTAGAGGACGTATGCCCCGAGCTAAAGATAAAGATGAAGAAAATACTCTGGATGGAGATGGTGAAGACAATAAACCAAGACGAAAACCAAATCGATGGAAAAAACCAAAGAGTAAAATAGCTGAAAATTATCCTAATTATATACAAGATGCATTTTTTGGTCGTGATTTATTGGATGCTTGCAATGTTGCGGCACAGATTTTGGACAGTAGTGAGTCTGAAGAAATAGAAGAAAAAAATGAAGATATTACAACAATTGAACTTTCTCAAGTAAGATTTTATTACTTTAAAAATGCTATATTTTTGTTATATTTGTTAATTAATTTTGATTCAATTAACTTAATATTTATTAGGCTGAACTAAAAATTATGGAAGATATTAAAGCTAAACAACAAACAAAAGAAGAAGTGATTAAAAAATGCTTGAATATTAAAGAAGAGATAATTGAACTCAACGAACAACCAAAAGTGGTTGAAAAGGTAAGATAACATTTTTATAAAGAGCTAATGTTACAAGGTCACTGGAACGGAAAAGTTATATATTTCAGGAGATAATTAATTTAACCTAAACTTAGGTATAAAGCTTGTGGATTTCTTTAAATATATTTTCTACCTGAAATTTTAATTTATTTATGACTAATTAAATATTCTATTTGAGAATTGAAAGTTAAAAATATTAAATACTCCAACTTACTACCAGGTGATTCTTATATCATAAATTACACATTATTTCCAAAAGTATTAACGTTTTTGAAAAAATCTTTTTCTACATGGTTTCCATTTTTTATTATCCTTATACTTTTTGTTGTAAGTCCAAAACTGAAAAAAAATAGCATACAAAATTATAAGGATAAAAAAATGTTAAAAATATATATTTTTTGAAATGTTGTTTTGTAATGACTTGAAACCATATAAAAAAAATATTTTCAAAAAGCTTTGTACTTTTGAAATGATGAGTGGCTTGTGTTTTATTGTATCCATTACCTAGTATACTGTTATTTTTATTTATTTATGCAAATTAATATCGAAAGATTATAAATAAGAGAAAAAATCACTTGGTGGCCCAGGGTTATATCACTTACTCCCCATTTAAATGCCAAATTTTCCCTATTTTGCATCAATAGTGTGAATACTTTTTACCATTCGTTTCAACAGCATATCATGTGCTCTAATGACAAGGTATTCAGGCCTGTTTTCTGATAGGAATGCATGTGAAAAAATAATATATGGTTGCCGTCTGCACTTGTACAATGCAGTAAATAGATATTTTTTTGATTTGCAGACAATTTGAAAGATACAACAAATTTAAATAATTACTTACATCTTATTAATAAGTTAAAAATCACTGCTTTTCCGTGAAAAAATAACATATTAATTTTTGTATGTGTTAGAACATAGTTGTCTTTATGATGACATAAAAAAATGTCAAAATTGACTTACTCTCTTTTATATGCACACTTTCAAAATGTTTCTATTATACTACACCAAAGTCCTTATAATACAGTAAAATCAATACCATAATTTTATGCTGCAATAATTTAAAAAATATAATCAAAATAAATATATTATTTTAAAACAAATAAGCTTCTAGGTTGTCTTATCTGAAAAAAATAACTTAGAATGGATATTAATATACATCTTTTTTTTTGTTTATTATTTTTATAGAAAAAAGAAATACCTTCTACAAATGAGAATGATACACTGAAAGATATTTTGCTGTCTGATAATTTATTAGATTCTATTATGAATGAACAAAGTAGGAGTATTAAGACAGAAATTGAAGGTATTTTAAATTAATCATAGAAATTCAAATTGGTATTTAACTTATATAATTTTTTTTCAGATACTGGTTTAGTGGTGGAAGAACCCGACATGAACGAAACTGACACTTCAGCTCAAAAAGATGAATTTAGTGAAATTCTAGGTTCCCACTTTAATCTTGATATGGTCAGAGAGACAGGTAATTACAATTGTTTTATCATTTTAGATTTTCCTCAATAATTTCTCATTTAACTAATTATTTTTCATTTTTAAATTATTTAATTTTGTTCGTTATTTTTTATTTAACTAACAAAAATTATATTCATATTTTATTAACATGTTGACTACTGTGGGACTGAGGGCTGTCACACAATATGTATTATTGACTGGCCAAACATATTTTTCCATGTCATTCTTAATTTGTGAATAATATGCTCATTACATCGAATAAATTGTAATTGTGCCTGCTATGCCACTGCACTCTCTGTTAAGTGAATTATTGTAGCACCATACAAAAGTTAATAATTTAAAACCATATTGATTTATGATTGCCAGAGGCCATGTGGCGCGGTTATAATGATCAACTTTGGGCGTTGACAGTCACAAAAGTCTACAATTTTAGAACTCCAGATGACCGCTGGTGGTCACAATCCAGTCAACATGTTAATACTTTTAGCTAAATATTAGATTGAATTAGCCTAATGATTTTTTTTTATTCATGAAGTATTAACCATGAAATAATGGGATTAAGATAATAAAATGGATATTCATAGAAAGAAAATTTATAATTTCACCTTGTTTGTTAGATAACCAATAACGACAGAATTAAGCCATTTCGTTATCATATTATAATATATTATCTTTGTATTGGTTGTTCTTAAATTAAAATGTGTAACAATTATCTTTAACAAAATGTTAAGTATTTATTGTTTAATGATATAAGTGTACTTGTTTATTTTCTAAACTTATTGTCTGTTAGTGAAAATTATCAAATTAAAATTGTATTCCAATTCAGGCTTACCAAATATGGATAGTAAAGATGTAGAAGAGATTTTCAAAGTAGTTTTAACTGATGATGCTTCACAAGAATCTCAAGATCCGAATAGCTCTAATATGTTATTAATAAGTAATAATAATATGGGCACAATACCTCAAGCCCAAAATGGAGTTGTTATGGTTCAAAATCAGAACCATGCTCCAATAATGTCTCCCTCTCGTACAGGTAAATTATGTTCAATACATTTAAACATAAAAAGTTACTAATTATAAAATGCATAGGTGTTCCACCTAATATGTCTCGTGGAAAAGTACCAGCTCCAGCATTACCACCTGTAGTAACCAATATGCCTTCTCCTATCTATCCAGCAATGTCTCCATATCATTCTGAATATAGCAAGTAAGTAATAGTAATTAATTATTAATAATTAGATAAACTAAAAAGTGTTTTTATACTAATATGTAATGTAAACATTTTTATTTAACTTTTTAGTAGTCCATCTCAATTTAGTCCAGCATTTTCTGAACCTCATAGTCCTTGGGTTCAGAATAGCGGTGGTGAAGATAGTCTAGAAGGCATAGGATCTCAGTCATCAGCAATTAATACTAGCCAAAGAAATTCTCAAAAAATGGAAGCAGATGAAGCTTTAGGACCTAAAGCTTCAATATCAGCTGTACTCTACGCTAATGTTACACATCCTGAATGGAAAACCGAATTTCCTTGTATGATAACTTTCATTTTACATATATTATATTTACATTTATATTATGCTGAAATTGAGTTTTTTTTTAATGTTTAGCTTGGCCTGAAAGATCAAGACAAATATTAAAAAAGTGGAGAACATTGTCTCCAGAACAAAAAAGTCCATTTTTGTTAAAAGCAAGAGAAAATAGAACTAATCTGAGACAGAAAAAAGCGCAACAGGTAAGCATTGCATTTTATGCTAAATGTTTTTTGAGGAAAATGTATTATGTCAAGCACCATATCATAATGGTATGAAATCATGGACTAATTTTAGCTTTCATCATGAGAGCTTTACTATCATAATATATAGCGGGGAAAATATATATATGTACATTGGAAGATTATACATGGTATTTTAAAAAGTTCCTCTACATAAAACAAAGCTTTTTTTATTGGGGCTTAAGTTTAAAATTTATTTGTGTGTGCTTATGTGACTTGGCCAAAGCGCTTTTGGTTATTAAAATGTATGATAAATCATCATATTACTTATGTGTTTTAGGCCAATCACAAATTACAGCGTTTTGCACATTTTTGGGATTCATTGAAAACAGATAAATTAAAACGATGTTGGTTTTATTTTATTGGTTATGTCTAGTTGTTGATAATATTAAAGCACTAGTAATTTTTACACTGCAATTTTTAGATTTATACAGTTCACAAAAATCCAAATATATTTAAATAATAGAATTTTGTTATAGTATTAGGATCCTTAAGTGAAATTATTTTTAAAATATCATAATATCCTGTTAAAGTCATCACATTTTTCTAGGGTTAAGCACATAGATTATTTCCTACACGACACTTGTTGAAAATATTTTATAAATACCATTTTGAATAATGAAAATCAATACATTTGAATAGAATTTAATGATAAAAAATCATATATTTATTTAATTTTTGTTATAATGAATTTATTACAAATTAAAATAATTCTATGATCTTGACAGTTATTATTGCTATTAAATATTTTTGTTGTGAATACATTTTTTCAATTTAATATAAAAACAATTTTTTATCTAACAATTGTAATTGAATGTTTTGATTTGTGTTGACCAGACCTGGTTATCTGATAGCATTGTTATCCTCAGCTATAGAAAAAAAATCAATTATAAATACAATCAATATTGTTAGTATCTGATTTCCTCTACCTTAAGTTTTTTCCTATTTTTAATTAGGTACATAATATTTTCAATTTTAAGAATATATTTCGTGATTTTTCAGAAAATTATTTTTTCATCCCTAATAAAAGTTTGCAATTTTCTTCAAATATTTAAGTTAAGATTATTTTTATATTTTTTAAGTATATGATTAAGAAAAAATTACATTTTCAACATGTTATTTTTTCAATACCGATTCAAAAAAAAAATTTGATATCCATCATTAGAGTGTTAGCATCTTTAGTTGATATGTTCTCATTTTATTGCTTTTGGGATTTGTTTCTTTAATGGCACCCGTTCTATAACAACACAAACAGGCCGTGAAGGAAGACAGTACCAGTGGCGACAACCGGACCAGTTCAACATCTAGTGCTACCCAGAGCCCGACGATTAACAATGGAGAGGTGTGTCCCACCAAAGAACTGATGCAACCCGCAATACTAATTGCCGCTGGTGATGGTCATACTAACTCTCAATCTCCTCAGCCTTCTGATCCCGAGCCTGAATCTAACCCACCTCAGCAAACATTTCCTACTACTATTCCTACACACCCTTCCACAATACAATATATACCAGTTTTACCCAACCCTCCATCTCCTAATCCTGTTAACTTGCGAACTATTCACATAATTCCTGCAGAGAAAAATTCATCTGAACCAATTCAATATCAATATGTAGCATCAGGCTCATCTGAAAGGGGGACTTTGCATTATCCACCAAACAGTATTCACATAATACAAACAGTTCCATCATTAATAATGTCTAATTCAATATTAGCCACATTAGATACTAAAAATCAAACTGATTCACGTAATAACCTATTACATATAATCACATCACAGCCAACTGGCACAATACGTAATGTACAGTTGGTGAGAAATGAATCATCATCAGCTGGCACCGAGGGCGCTAAAACTAACATAACCGCTAGCAGTACTAACAATTCAGTCAGCACTTCACCTCCGCTGTCTGACCAACAAATACGTGTACTAACACCGTCTGAGATAATGCGCACACTCCCGTCCCTCGGTCAAGAGACTTATGACCCTGTGGTGAGCGTTCACTTGCACGTTCTGGGAAATGATTTTCTTTGGATATTTGACTGTTCAGCCTCTTCTTTTTATTTTTGTGTTTTTAGTATATTCCCAGCTACTGTTATATTGCTTCTAAATCCATTTAAAATCTTTGTATTTACTGTTTAATTAAATGAGTTAATTTCTTTATATTTGTATGTGTTCAGACCATAAAATGCTGTTATTTGTTTAGTTACATAATGGTAGCTTAACAATACTGCTGACTATTATGTTTGTAAACACTATTGTTGGTGATGGATTTAAATTCTAGTAATATTAGATTGACTTTATGTTCAGAAAGTATTAGCCAAATTCAATTAGAGTTGAATTAAAATATATATAATTAATATGTATAAATTAATATAGAGATATTTTACCAGATTTTTTTTAAATTTAATTTTATTGCATATAATTTGAAATATTTACATTTTTTTATTAGAAAAGGGGTTTTGTAAAAACATTGTTTACATTTTTAGTCGAAACAGTGTATAGAAAGTTCTTTAAAAATAAGCTGTTTCATGTTTACAAGTGGGTTAACCCATTCAATTACATTGATTATAACAGTAAATTCAAATTTTTACATGATATAATAAATTGTATTGCATATTATAGCTACTAATATTTTAAAATACATTATTATTTTTTGGTCAAACTGCTACATTGTTCAAATTTTGTCTGTGTTTGAACAATAAAAATAAATCTGTTAGACTTAAAACATATGTGATATTTCTGTATGTTAATTAATTTGGGATTTGTCTGGATAATTTTAATACTTTATCTTCAATTTCTAAATTATTTCACGTATTTGGCATATGATTTCTGATACATTTATTTGTTATTTAGTAAATAACTGCTGTTGATAAGTAATACATTTTAGCATGGTGTGTAGTAGATTAAATTATGTAGAACACAAAGCTTATTTTTAATTTTATAAGTAGTGATTTGAATTGATTGGTGTATGGATAATATTTATTACACTATATCAATATAAATATACATTAATATATTACTTAACAAAAACCATAGTTTGTGGATGTAATTTTATAGGGGTACACAAAAATACATAAATAGATTTAAATAATACATGTGTATGTGTGTATTATGTATAAAACAAATGGGATTCTGGTGAATTTTCTTCTAAATGTATGAATAAAATGTAATTTATCATTATCTTATTTGTTTGTTTCGTCAGATGCATTAATAAAAAAAAAATAATGAGCTTTAATTTAAACTTATATTTGTTTCTTCATATTTTCAAACTTATTGAGTATTCATTTCTATAACAACATTTAGAAATATAACTAACATAAGTTCACTATTTTATGGTAATAGGATCAAGATAAAATGATATCTCAACAGAGATCACGTGAAGCTGAAAATGAACGTCAGTGGAAACAGTTGCAAGCAATGCGACAACAACAGGCTCAAGCTGCTCAACAACAGCAAGTAATGCAAGACCAACGTACTCAAGGAGGTAAATATTTATTCCATTTTTATTGTTAATAATTTTTTTGTCGAATATTATAAATATATGTATTATTTTTTTAATCTTATTTCATAGTATATCAAAGAGTACCAGTTCATCAAAGAACTCTTTCTATAGATACCAATCAATTTACTAATTCTGATCAACAAGTGTTGGTTCATACGCCAAATTTAGCTACTCAGTTACAAGTTTCTACTAATCAGGTAATTTGAATTCATTATTTTTATATGAAGGATAAATCAAACTAAATGTGGTAATAAATTTAATTTTGTAGGATGGTTCTTTAACTCCCTTACAAAGCCCCAGTAGTGTAAGTTCTCAACAACAATCTAGATCACCATATCCTTCACCTGTCTTGAAAGTGACCAGAGTTGGGAGTCCTGCTTCCGCATCACCATCACCTCAATACACACGTTCACAGTCAACACCAGGACCAACAGATTTGTTTAGTCCACCAATATCTTCAACTTCTGCAGTTCAGCAACAAAGAAATGTTCATTTTAATCCTACATCTCCACGAGGCCGAGATGACGTATTTTCGTCACCCCAAGCTAATCAAGAAATGACAAGACATTTGAGAGAGTTACTTCAAAGACAGCAATTTAAAAAAGAAACACCGGCTGATCAGCGTATGTGGAATACAGAAGATACACCAAATCAAGAAATAAGCTCCCAAAATGTTGTACCAAATCAAGATTTTGAAACCCCATCTTCTGGACCCACATTTCGCCAGCCTTTACCTCCAAGTGCTGTTAAAACTCAACGTATGCCTTTCCAACCAATGGTTACTCCAAATGCTCAAATGGTCATTCGGCAACGAGTTCAAGATCAAAAATTCCAAGTAAAATATTTTATTTTTTAATCATTTGTTTTATAAATTAACATTATTAATTAAATTTTTAGTTATCAGATCCTCGGTTTCGGTTGTTAATACAACAACAACGATCTACCACTACTGGTGCAGTTATTAATAATAACATGAATGCTCAACAATTTGTATCTGGTATTAAAAATCCAATTACGCAACAAGCGTTGACACAACAAAATTCTAGGACTTACGAAATCATGCAACAACAACAGCAGCAGCAGCAACAGCAACAGCAACAGCAGCAACAACAGCAGCAACAACAGCAGCAGCAGCAACAACAACAACAACAACAACAACAACAACAACAACAACAGTTGCAACAACAACAACAGCTGCAACAACAACAGCAACAGCAACAACAACAGCAGCAACAACAACAGCAACAACAGCAACATCAACAGCAACATCAACAGCTGCAACAACAGCAACAGCAACAACCATTTTCAGGTATTTATTTAGTTATATGTATGTTACAGTTCAACTCGAAATCCATCAAAACTAATTTTAACTGTCAACACTAGTTTTCACAACTACCTTTCGCAAAAACTGATATTAAGTTTAAATAAACGTTTAAATGTAAAAAAACTAGTCTTTACTGAAATGTATATACCCTGTTTCAAAAGAAAACCATATCAAATTGATTAAGTAATATCTGTGGTAGTTATGTGTGGCTGTGTTTAGATATATCAAGCTATTTATGAAGAAGTCTGGTCGAAAAGTATTTTAATAATATTTAAACAATATCTTTGATATTAACTATGAGTGAAATTAATTTTTGGGAAATCAATAGTTATAGTTTTTACCATTATATTTTGGACATAACTAGTTTAAACTAAAAAGAATGTATTACAACTAGTCCTAACTTTGATGGTTGTTGTTTATTCTAGTTTTAACCACTTAAAATCAGTTTTGATGAAATGAGGTTGTGAAAACTAATGTTGACTAGTTTAAACTAGTTTTGACGGATTTTAAGTTTGTAACATATTTATATATTTAATGTATGATATAATTTCAATTTACTTTCCAGTAGTAGAAAGATCTGAAAGCTTAGACCAGAAATATCAAGCTCCAATTAATGAAGTTTCATCAATAATAAATGATCCTACTTCAATGTCCCAATCTATAGTTGGTCAAAATGTATCTGTTGGTAGACATAGTGATATATTACAGCACCAGTCTCAGCAAAATTCTATTAATGGTAATACAATTTTAAATATAATGTGTATAAGTTAATATTGTAATCAAATGTATTCTTTAGGTGCTGATAATGTAGACAGTAGAAGTGAAGAAATTACAGATAGTGTTAGAGATGAGTTGGAAAAACTACAACAAGAAGGAGATCCAAACAATATTGGTGAAGTTGATGGAGTCAATGCCCTTTTGGGTGATTTGGATGATGATGACGAACTCTTAGGTAAATTATTTATGGATATACCTAATCTTTATTATATGTTTATAAATTATTAAAAATATGTTTGTCCGTAGCTGAAATGGGAGCCGACTTTAATATACTGGAATATGCTGATCCAGAACTCGACAACTTGGATTGCGGTAACAAAACTAATATCTTATATGATCTTGTTGATGATGAGGAATCGAACAAGAGTACACACAATAAAACAGTATCAAACGATAAGTCTTCAGTTGAAATTGAAACAAAACAACCGAAGGAAGAAGTGGATGATCTACAGAGATTAAGTAGTCTGAATCACAGAAAAGAGCAAAATAATGTAGCAGTTTTAGGAATTGAAAAGTTTGAACAAGATATTATTCATTCTCCAAAACTTGAAACTTCTCAAAATGTTAACTCACAAGTAATATATATTTATGAAAACAATTAATGCAATTATGTATTAACTTAATTTTGGATAATTTTAGATTGTTCAAGATAACCAAATAGGTAATGTGATGCAGAACAGAGAAAATAATTTGAATTTCATGTCAAATTTTTCTGGAGAAAATCAAACACCTAAAATGTCACCAATTGGACAAGGTAAAATATTTGATTTTTAGTTAGTAAATATTAAATTATACATTATTATTATTTCTATTTTTATTTGCAGTCACTCTTCAGCAACAACAGCGACTAATTCAAATGCAACGTACAGTTGTGCCTAATCGCATGATAGGTTCTCAGCAGATTATACAACAAGGGACAGTTCAACAAACCCGACAGTTGGCTCCACCTCCACCTTACCCAGGACCTCCTCCGCCATACCCCGGACAACATCAGGTAAAATGTTATTTATATTATATTATAATTCATCATTGTTATAGTGTAATAGTAGTTGAATTATTCGTTGTAATCCCTTCAGTGGTTTCTCCTATTTTGCATTTAGATATTTTTTTTGTAGACTTCCAGAAAAAAAGCATGCCTTTTTCAATCGAATATGTTTTTGCCAAATATTTATTTAATTCGATAACGTAATCTGATCTCATTTTATTTTTTTATTAACATGTATAAGTAATGTGTATTTGTAAAAACTAGGGAAAGGAAAAAAATATATTGTTTTATTTTCTTAATTTAATTTTGGGTGAAATATTTCTAATTGATGTGCTTGATAATATACATAATACCTACATGACAATTTGGGAATTCATTAACAAATGTGGCCCCCCTTCAGGTCCGTATGAGGGCTCCTTTACCACACAGCGACATGGTACTACCACACAGTCTTTTGGGCGTTCAAATGCAGAGAAGACCATTGTTGCTTCAGGTAATTAGAAGAATTGAGATGGATGATATGTCGTGAAATAAAAATAAAAATGAATTTACTTACATTTAAATAATTAAAGCTAATAATAATCACGTGCACTACACAATGTTTTAGATGTGTTGTAATTAAATAACACTAAATATCTACCAAATATAAATAAATTAACTTTGTGTTGACTCAAAATACAAAACTTATTAATATTTAGTTTTTTTATTTCTTTAAAACTAAGATCAAGATCAATTAATTTAATACCATACCAAAATTAATGAATATCCCATGTTGAACTAATCAATTACTATTTACTTCCATATTTTTTTTTAGTTGAGATGAAAAGAGTAAAGTAGAGTAAAGTAAAGTTATCTTAAGTAAATTCTATATTCTAGAGATTAATTATCAACATTTAACTTTTAATGCTTATTATGCCATTGTTAATTTATTAATACACCAAACATCAATATGTAACTTAATGTAAACAAAATAAAAGCTTTTAACAAAACCTTGATAGTAATAATAATAATAAAAAAAAAATATATTTTCTGTTGAGTTAGTTAAGTTCTGTACATAGAAAATATGTCACTATAAACCATGCATTTTTTCTACTATAAAACTTTTTTAAAAAAACATTGATATTGTTACCAATTTGAATTGTATAAAATAATCATAGCAAAAGGTAATTTTAATTAACTAATATTATTGATTTTTTTTTTTTTGAGTCAAAACACAGTTTGTATATTTTATTTATTTAGTTCTATCCTTTTATTTTTTAAACTCACTAAATTTGGCACTAATTAGCATTATAATGTTATTGTTTCTTAGTTATATTAAAAATCATTTAGCTGTACTAAGCAAAATTGAATAGATTTTAAATATACATTGAATTTAATTAAAAAGGTTTTTATGACCTAATCTGTTTCCATAATCTGTTCAACTCTTGGTTTTCTGTTTATTTAATTCACTGAAAAATGTTTAAGTATACATTTAATAATGTTTAAACTTATCATTCTAACAATTTATAGGAAGTTATGATTTTTATTGGTTTACATAATTATGATTTAAAACCTTTTACTGTTAAGAGGATGTCGGTGCAAAATATTTGGTTTTCTCTCTGACCTCCACTCACAACATAGCAAAATGTATGTTTAGCAGAACTAACCCTGTGGTCTAACTTATAATATTGGAATGAAGTCACCTAACATCAAACTTTAAGTTAAAAATATTACTGTGTCCCTACGTTAGCTTTTTTACACTATTTTAATTTTTATACAATTTATAATTTATAAGCATTTTTAAATTGTAATAATTTACACTCTCGTAACTTACATCAGAATTAAAATATATAATAGCCAATGTAGGGGCAAAGTTAATGTTCTTAACTTAAAGTTTGATAATAGTTTAATTCATTCTAATATTAAAAGAAATAATACAGGGTTTTTACCACTTATATTTGCTATGTTGCTTGTGGGTCGGAGAGAAAACAATTAGCCCGCTGACCTTGTCTTAATTAACACAAATTAGTAATTATTGGTTATTACCACAGATATATTATGTAACAAAAACTAAATAGCTGAATTCCCTAACTATTTTAAATACTTTCAATTATTGTACTTAAAGCTTTACAATATATTTTTTGAAGTAATTTTGTAAAGTTATTAATAATTTTTGAGCAATATATTATATATAATATAATATAGATTGGGATCTACATTTTAAAGTGTTAGTTGGTAATTATTAGTTTTAATATTCATAATTATTAATTTTAATATTCGTAACTGTCTAAAAACTATTCTAAAGCCTATTCTAAATATTTTATTTCAATTAAGAAATGAAAAAACAATGTTATCTTTATAATTACTAGCATTTATTATTTTCTTTGTAAATTGCCATCAGGCTTAAATATATATATGAAATAAAATAAAATAGGGTTAAAATAAAATGATTCATATCATTGTACTTATTAAAATTTCCAATTTGAGCAACTTAGTTTATTTTAGAGTAGTTGACTATTTATTTAAACTAGGTACTTGATTATATTGCTTTATTATTTATTTGATTATTTTTATCAAAATCTAACACTACGTGTGTTCAAATTCCAATTTAATAATGATTAAATTAATCCATATTTGTAACTTAATAACATTTTATATTATTACAAAGAGTGTTATTAGAAATAAAATACTGTGAAACTATTAGCTCCCTTCAATATTAACAATATTTTTGTTACATGTAGAATAATTTTAGTTATATTATGGTATATTATTAAACATAATATAAAATTTAAGTTGTTTTTAAATTCTTTTCAAAATCCATTCAATCTATTTTCTTGTTAAATTCCATATCGTATTTTAAAGATTTTGGTAGGTACATGGTAATTACTAATTAGTAATTACATCTTAAATACAATATATTTTTATTTATTGTTATAGTACTTACCTTTTACAATTACATGTAAATATATATGTACTAAATAATGTTTATAAATACTTCTTGTTTTTAATTTTTATATATTTTCATGCAAAATAAAATTTTATAAACTGAAAAATTTGTTAGTAATTAATAGTCTTTTATTGTTTTATTAATTGTAATAAATTATTATTTTTTAAAAATATATTCATAATTTTAGCATGCTTTGCAATTAGATATTATTTCTTGTCAATATTTGCATGTATAGTTCAACAATGTGTTTCAGTTAGCACTGCAAAAACTTTTGAAATAAGTAGTGTCCATTGTAGAATATTATGAATTACAAGCTTACTGTGTCATTTAATGAATACTAATAAAACAAATATTTCTCAGGAACAGCCCTTATTATTAGAAGATCTATTGGAACAAGAAAAGCGAGAACAAGAGAAACGACAAAATGTTGATTCATCAGGTGTTAATAGTAATGTTTCATCCACGGGTTCTTCACTCACTGGTCTAATGAGTGATGCTGATTTTGAACTTCTGCGGGCTGATGTTATGAATTCCTCTGCTAGTGGTACTGCTATCGCGTCACCACCTATAATTCAACAAAGTAATTTTTAATTTTCTTTTTTTATTGCTATTTTGTAAATCTATAAATTTGTGTAGGTGGTACAGGCGTTGTACAACAACAAGTCAGTGATCAAATTCATATGCAAAGACCTACGTTTTTGCAAAGACCCACGTCTCAGCCAGTACAAAACTGGTCACAACCTCAGCAATTACCTAGTCAGTCTCCAGCAAGACAACAATTTACTGAACAATGTTAGTTAAGTTTTTTTTAGTGTTTGATTTATATTAAAGTAAATTTATTGTTCACAGCTATAAAAGTTCCAATATTTAATGCTCCAGTATTAACACCACCAGCACAACCACCCGAAGTCATAGCTACAGAACAAGATCGTCAAATACAGCATACATACGAAGTATGGCTTAATGAACAAAGTAACAATATAACCAAGCAATTGAAATATTATGAAAGTGAAGTTCAGAAGTTAAGAAAAATGAGAAAGAGTATGAATAGTAAACAACGTGTTGCTAGAAAACAAGGTAATGAGCTATCAGAACACGACTTACAAGAATTTCAACGCGTTACTGGAGAACAGCAAACTGTGCAAAAACTATTGGATTCAAGTCGTAAGCAAAATAAACAGCATATGGCTATTATACAGGTAATATTACCTAATATACACAATTTTAAAATTTTGAATTTGAGTTAAGGATAATAATAATAATTTCTATAACTAGGAGTACAAAAATAAACACCGTTCAACAACTGCAGAAAGTCCACAGTCTCCAAGTGTAATGATGTCTCCAAATTCAACTGTTGGGTCTATTCAACATCAACAAAACTCAATGTCTCCTCTCAATAGTATTTCCACTCCTTTATCTCAAGTATGTTTCGGAAACATTTTTAAATGATTGCTTTTATGTATTTTAATATTTGCTTGTTTTTATAGACTGAAGAAAACCCATTTAGTCCAAACCAACAGTCCCCATTACCATCACCAAGATCTAACCTGCCTTCACCTCAGCTGCGTAACCCTGGCCAGTCGAGTCCACGGCAAGTGATAGTAAATCCAAATACACAAGACCAACTAACAAGGTTTGTAGGATTATATAATGATGTTTTGCTGTAAAACAATAAAAATCATTGATTGCAAAAATAGTTCATACTTAATTTTTACAGACTTAAGTGATACAGATTCTTATCAAGTCATTGGGTAAATAGGTTGATTTCATGATTTATTTTGCTTTTGAGTTTAAAATATTACATTTTTTAAAAAATTTTCCTATGTACAAATAATAATATAGAATTTCTGTCACTTTCTTGATTTTTATGATCTAGACTGACCACCAAAATAGATACTGGAATTGAAAATCAAAAATACATCATTTTTTTAATTGCGCTGTTTTATATACCCAAAACGTGCTAAACAGTTGAAGTATCATAACAAATCAACATACAAACATAGACTTTGTTCTTCCTATTAAATTTTATAATAGGTAATTTTACTCTAATTTTTACAATGAACAAAATTTAAGGTGAACTGCCATAAATTTGCTAGTCATGCACTTGTGTGATGGAGACAGAAATGCACAGCGTCCTCTTATGTAAAATATCACTCATAGTTTCTTCAAAATCTATATACCATTTTTTTTCTCGTATCATAAACGTGTGTGTTTGGCCGAATTTCTATTGGGCACCCATAGGTTTCTGCCATGCCCGGTTATATACCATTAAAAGCCTACTACTAGATGCCCCATATAATGTTCTCACATTTAAATTTGCAATAGGTAAATTCTCCTTTATTTTTTAATAAACTTTACAAAATGGGTTTTATTGAACACTAATTTGCCATGTTGTACGTTAGTAAGACGTAGACAAAACATGGTTGTAATGTCCTCTTAATACTTTGAATACAGTCGAGTCTCGGTAATTTGAAGTCAAAAGATTAAAAATGTAAATTTGAGTTTTATACTTCAAACAAAACTTAAAAATACATCAAGGGTCGATCAACAAAATTTTTTTTAGTTATCAAGACTCGACTGTAAAAAATATCAATATAATTTATATTTATATATGAGCAAAATTTAATTTTTTAAATTATTTTATCTTTTTAAAGGCATACAGGAATGACTCCTATAAGATTTGTGCGTTCACCAGATGGCTTAACATTAAGAGCACGGCCAACACTCGTGTCTCTACAGAGTCATATGCCATCTGTGAATACTTCGAACATATATCAGGGCGCAAAAATAACAAATGTCACAATAAGCCATGGATCCCAAATTCAACAACCTCAGCAGATACAACGTCTAACATTCCAACAATTAACTCCTCAACAGCAACAGTTGCTCTTACAGAGAAAGCTAACCCAAAAAGCCATACTTATATCTCAGCAACAACAAGAATTAAACAATTCTGCCAACCAAGACCCATTAGCAGTCCAACAACGACAAATGCAATTAGCTCAACATAGACAAATGTTATTACAGCAAATTGATCAAATTCAAAAACAAATGAATGATGGTCAGAATCAGCAACAAAGACAAATACTCGTTCAGCAAGCTGTACCTGGAAATCAAGATAGTAAAGCAGAATTGTCACCTCAACAAAGACAGCAGATAGTCATTCAGAGACAAAACATAATATTACAACAGCAACAACAGTTCCAACAGTTACAGCAACAAAATGTTCCTCAACAACAACAACAACAACAACAACAACAACAAATTTTGCAACCGCAGAATAATCCAAGTCAATTGCAATTACAATCTCAAAACAATCCAAACACAATACAAGTACAGCAGCAGCAGCAGCAACAGCAGCAGCAACAGCAGCAACAACAGCAACAGCAGCAACAGCAACAGCAGCAGCAACAACAGCAGCAACAACAGCAACAACAGCAACAACAACAGCAACAACAACAACAACAACAACAACAACAAAACCCTGGACAAACAAATATGACTCAACAGCAAAAATTATTTCAACATCAACAACTACAGTTACAGATAGCCAAGCAGCAGCATATTATGGCACAACATAATGCTCAAATCCAACAAAAATTAGTTCAACGTTCGCCCCAGCAGCAAAATGTAATTCAGTCTCAACTGTCTCCTCAGCAGCAACAAACAGTACTGTTACAGCAGACTATTAAACAAGAACCAGGAGAAATTGTTAATCCAAATATTATTCGTCAACAACAGCAACAACAGCAACAGCAGCAACAGCAACAGCAAATTTTATTACAGCGCCAGCAACAAACAAGATTTCTGCAACAACAACTTATTTCTCAAGGCAAAGTCACTAGGCAAATGGTTCAGTCTCAACAGCAATCTCCAATTCCTCCTCAAAGCCCAAATCAACCACCTTTATCTCCAATGCCTCCACAAAGTCCTATTTCCAACAATCAGCAATACTGCCAACCAAACAGTCCAATGTTATCTACTCAGTCCCCAATGCTGGCACAGAGTCCTCAACAATTTTCACAACCAGTGCAATCGCCTAACACTGTACAGTTTACTCCTAATTCACCGATGCCTTCTCAAAGCCCTAGGCAAACTCAGTTTGTACAACCAACATCACCATTAATGCCTCAAAGTCCTATGGTCCAGGGATACACTCATCCTCCTGCAACTTCACCATTTGGTCAACCTCCCAGCTCGCCAAGTCCTAGACCGTCACAGAGTCCAAGGAACAATCTGGGTCCCCCTAGTTCTCCAATGAGTCCTATGCAGCAAAACCCATACATCAGACCAATAACGAGTCCTATGCCTGCTAGACGACCAAATGTTGGTAGTAGTCCATTGATGCCTGATCAACAAGAAAACAGGGAAGAAAATAATGTACCACCTGAAGGATATCAGTATGCAAAATTAGGACTTCGTGGAGGTGGACATTATTGCTTACCTCCTAAGGGGTTCAAGTACTCTAAATTAGGTCTTAAGGGTGGAGCACCTATGTGGAGTACTGGGAGGCAATTTGTTAGTAAAGATGCTCAAGATGAGGTAAAAAGAAGTGTGTTCAAAAGTAATGATATGCCATTAAGTGCAATACCAGTATCTAAAGTTTCATCATTAGTATCATTGGAGTATGGAGATTCGGACGATGAAGGTTCGAGAACACCTCCAGTTCCTTCCCCACAACCACCTCCAATCCAAATTTCCAAACAAAAAGAAGCTCCGGAAGGAATTAATACAGATCCAATGATTATTTCATCTTCTCCAAAAAATGATCGAAATTTACCAGTTTACAAAGATGTAAATTTATCGGAAAATTGTAAAAAAGATAGCATTGAAGAATTAGATGATATACAAATTATGTCAACCATACACAATATGAACATAGATCCTGGGCAGATATCATTAAACTCTAGTAGAGTTGGTGAAGAATTGTTGGATATGGATAGGGAAATTAATTCACCTGGTCTGATGTTAAATGAAAATGATGATAGTATTCTTGGTGGTCTTCCAAAAGACGAAGCATCTGAAATGGATAGATTAATGTTTTTTGATGAACTTGGTGATAGCATAAAATGTGACCAGGAGGAAAAAAGTGGATCACCGGAGAAATCGGTTTTCAATCTGGACAAATTATTAAATGATCCAGAACCACATATAGATCAAAAAGAAGAATTTAAAGCTGAGGTTATCCAACAAGAAAACAATTTAGCTGAATTGAGTCAAGAAAATGAAGAAGAAAATATTGATAATGTTATTCAAAGCTATTCATTTCATTCTTATGCAAAAGTTCCAAAACCAGCACCATCGCCCAAAAAAGAAAACCGTTTGGTATCTATTTTGAAAACTGATCAATCAGATGATCTAAAAAAAGTGACGAGTCTACTTCGATCTCATCCATCTACTCAAAGTAAAAATATTATTATTTTAAACCCTTCATCAGATACATTAAAAGATCAACAAGTTAAACAAAATTTACTACTAGCAAAGGCAGACAACCTTATGCATTCAGATTTAGCTCAAATCTTAAGTAATATTATGTCTCCCAAACAGAAAGACAGTTTCATTAAAATAGAAACATCAAAATCAGATGAGCATACAAAACACTCGACTATAGTTTTACCAGCCCGTACAACATCAGTTGTGCAGAATTCACAAAAGATGTATCCTTGGGATTCAATAGGGACATTTACTACAGCGTCTTCCACTTCATTTACTAAATCAATTCAAATAATATCAAAACCTGAAGAGAAAGAACTAAAAAACAGCTCTCAATTATCATGTATGATTAATTTACCCAAGCAAGAATTACGTACACCTAAGGTTGTTGAAGAATCTCAGAATGTATTGCTTAAACAACTTCTTCAAAATACTGCATGTGCTAATCAAACTCCAACTACTACATCTGCTATAAGTTTGCCAATTATACCTTCTCTTGAAGCTCAACTTGCAAGGCCTGTTTCACCTACACCATCTTTATTGTTTCCTTCGTTACTTTCACCAAAAAAAGATGATAAATTTGAATCTCAACATCAATTGCTAAAACCTTTAAAACTAGATATTGAACCCATATCACAAAGACCAGAGTCTCAACCTCAGGGGCTTCAAAAGCCTGAACCTCAAATTCAGGTACAAAAATCTGAACCTCAAGCTCAAGTTCTAAAGCTTGAGCCTCAGTCTTCTCCTAAACCTGTAGTTATTCTACAGCGGTCTGATATTCAAACACCAGTTACACAATCTTCGCCTAAGTCATCACCACCACCACCACCGCCACCACCACCACCTTCGCAACTATCTTTACCGCAAGTACAACCAGAATCACAACCTCAATTACAGCTACAACCACAAATTCAGCCACAGCTACAACCACAATCGCAAACTCAATCAACGCGACCAATAGCTTCAACTGATTCAATAATGGAGTCAATTAACTCAGCAATTAAACAAGAGCGTTTAGAAGAAGAAAGTAAAATTGAAGTACCTGCAACTACATTAACTGGATTTAGTCCTGAAAGAGAAGTAAAAAAAGAAATCATGTCATCCGATGAATTAGTATCACCCCAAAATTCCACTAGAATAGTAGATCCAGCAGATATGAATAATTCAATGAATATGTCAATAGACATGAATGCAGATACTCAAGGTACAATTTTTCATATTTTACACAATAACATTTTGTCAGGTCTTGATTTTGAGTTTATTTTATTTTAGACCAAAAGAAATATAAACGCAGGCAGTATTATGCTAAACGAAGGCAAAGTCAAGGTAAAGATGTAAGCTCTACAATCATCCCAAAAAAGCGGCACCGAAAGGTAATATATTTTTAAAAACATTTCTGTATATTTATAATTATATTGTTGAATTATTATTAATTTAGGGTTCTAAACCAGAAGAAGATTACGATTCTTTTATTGATGCACTTATGTCACAATTACGACAGCTTCAACCAATGAGTGTTATTGAGCCATCTTTAAACCAAAACTTAACAGCTTGTCCATTGTTTGGCATAGGAGATGTATTATCTCAACAAAAGTATGTAACAAAAAAAATAGATGTGTTGTGTTCCATTTTAATCAGTTCGTGTTTAAAAGAATAATATACTTTTTTTTAGCTTTAAAATTGGTGATTTAAAAGGTAAAGTGGGTTCATGTAATCTGCCAGGCGAGAGTGATTATTACAATACAAAACCATTTGGTGATTTGGAACCTGTCTCACCATTACCTCAACCATCCACTCAAAGAGGCTTTTACAATGAAGAATTTGACCCTCTCAAGTTTGAATCTGATAGTATGTGTGATATTAAACATAATATGTGTTATATATTTTTTTATTATATTTCTTATTCATATGTTGTAAATAAATATTTTAGGTGATGAAAAGAAGTTTGATATCGGACGTGACCGTGATGATACTCCAGACACTGTAATGAGCTCTTCTTCACCAGAATTGGCAGTGTGTCAAACTCCAACCCATTTCCCTGGTATTTCTTCAATTTCAGTATCTTGGTTTCAAGAAACTAATTTAAATGTTTACAGGGCTTAAAAGTTATGACGATGATAGCGATTCAACAGACACATTGTTAAATTTCACTCGATACATGTCTCCAGTTCATCAACTTGTTGCACCGCTGGCTTTGAAACCTCGCCCCAACTATAAAATCAATATGGAAGACGATAAAGAGAATCAGGGTGCGAGACACGGAATGTTATCTCAAGTTGGGAAAACACCTCCACGAAGTTCACCTGCATTACCATTACGGGATTCCAATACAATGACAGTTACATTAACTATAACTTCCGATGCGGCTGAAGATATTATGGGAGTTCTTCAAGGCTTAGCTAATTTACTTGATTTACCTGATATTCCTAATTATAAAGTTACCGAAAGAACTGTTACACCGATGTCACATAAATTAGGACTGTACAGATCTAAAACCAAAGATGGAAAAGAAGGAGCCCCAATAGATATTCAAACTATATTAAATGGCTTTGCCAAATTTTGTCGTCATTGTGATTTAGTTATTTTAAATAATTTAATAAAAAAGAAAGCAAGCGAAATTCCCTTCTTAACTGTCGAAGAGTGTGCAGATGAAATATTTTTCTGTAGTACGATGTGCTTTCAAACTTTTGCTTCACTTTTACGCCCACCAGCTGAATCCAAAGACAAAGCAACAACCAATGTTAATCATTTATCTGAAGGTTCACCACCAAAGCGTTTGAAAGTAGATCCTGAAACTAGTCCAATATCTAATAAAACTGATGTTATTGAAAAAATGGTAAGTGTAATTAATTTTTTTTAATCCCTCTTTAACAGTATAAACATAATTTTATTGATATCAGGATATTGATGACACTTTACAAAACATAGAGGAAACAAAACCTGAACCATCTGTTGAAGAAACAAAAACCTCAAATAAGAGTAATACTTATAGACTTTGGAATACAAATAGCGTTCCAGCTCCACTGACTAAGCATAAAAAATCTACTGATAAAGATCTAATGGAGGTACGTGTAATTTTTTTTTCAGAATTTTGATAATTTATTGAATATTTTTTTATTTTTTAAGATGTTGTTTCGTATGGGAATCACTGTTACATCGCCAAAATTACCAGAAGACAAACGTGTGTGTTTGTTTTGTCATCAGTTTGGAGATGGTGTTTCAGATGGACCCTCTAGGTATGTATAATTTATATATTATTTTGCAGTTCATCATGTAGATAAATTTATGAATTAATTTCAATTAGTAACTATTTCTATTATGTATTAATTAGGTTATTAAACTTTGATGTTGATAAATGGGTACACTTAAACTGTGCATTATGGTCTGAAGATGTTTATGAAACTGTTAATGGAGCTTTAATGAAAGTTGACATTGCTTTACGACAATCTCTCAGTGTGGAATGCATAGTATGTCAGAGGCCCGGTGCAACACTCAAATGTTACAAGCTTAGGTGTTCCACAAATTATCATTTACCATGTGCAGTCAAAGATGATGCTGTGTTCTATAAAAATAAGACTTTGTACTGCAGTGGCCATGCTCCAAAGAGTGACAAGGAGAATGAGCTGACAACATTTTCAGTTCATCGACGTGTTTACATTAACAGAGATGAGAATCGACAAGTTGCTGCTGTAATGCATCATTCAAGTTCTCATCAGTTCCTATTGCGTGTTGGTAGCCTTACACTCCTCAATATTGGTCAATTGTTGCCTCATCAATTGGCTGCATTTCATACTCCAACTTCTATTTATCCAATTGGTTTCAAAGTGGTAAGTTGTATATATTATACATTTTCAGCCGTTACAGAACTTACTGATCAAAATATATTTTTTAAGGTCCGTTTGTTTTGGAGTATGCGAGTGCCTAACAAGCGTTGTAAATATATTTGTTCTATTCATGAAGTAAATGCACGGCCAGAGTTTAGAATTATTGTACAAGAAGTGGATAATGAAGATCTAGAGCTTAAAGATTCTAGTCCAAGAGCAGTTTGGTCAAAAGTTTTGTCGGCTATTGCTAGTATGAGAACTGCAAACAATTTGTTAAAGCTACATCCACAACATGTGAGCGGTGACAGTTTATTTGGACTTACTGAACCAGCAATTGTTCGTGTCTTGGAGAGTTTGCCTGGTAAGTATTGTGTGTGATAAATTTGTGAGGAGAAAAAATGACTAAACCAAAATAGTCAAGTCAATATTAATATTTATGAAGTATTCTTTCAGTTTAAAGATATTTATTAAAAATGTTATGAAATGTATACAGGTATCGAGACTCAATCTGATTACCGTTTCCGCTATGGTCGTAATCCTCTTCTAGAACTTCCATTAGCTATCAACCCAAGTGGATGTGCTCGTTGCGAGGGCCGTAGACGACTAGTCCTTCCTGGGAAGTTACGATCACACATACCAAGATCATTTACATCATCTCATGGTTCATCATTATTGAGTCAGCTAGACTTATCAGCTCCTCCTACTTGCCCATATTCTAAACATTTTGTTCATTCTAAATCCTCACAATATAAAAAAATGAAACAGGAATGGAGGAACAATGTGTACTTAGCCAGGTAAATGATAATAATACAATATTGAATTGTAATTGTTCTAATTACGTTAGAGTACTTATCTAAATTAACTTCCTACTAGGTCTAAAATCCAAGGTTTAGGATTGTACGCAGCTAGAGATTTAGAAAAACATACTATGGTTATTGAATACATCGGTGAAATTATCCGATCACAGTTGTGTGATTATAGAGAGAAACTTTATGAGGCTAAGGTAATGTTCTCTTAAAGTATTTTTGTTTAAATTACATAGATTAATGTGTATGTTTCTGTTGTAGAATCGCGGTATATACATGTTCCGTCTGGATGACGATCGGGTGGTCGATGCTACTATAAGTGGAGGTCTAGCTCGATATATTAATCACTCGTGTAATCCTAACTGTGTTACCGAAAAAGTGGAAGTAGACAGAGAGCTTCGAATTATAATATTTGCTAAGCGAAGGATTGCCAGAGGCGAAGAGGTGAGTTTAAAAAAAGAACAATTGTTCATTTTTTGAATTTTTAGAGTTTATTAAAAATTATGAAATTTACTAATGATTGTTTTAATTTATGGCATGCCAGCTTGCGTATGACTACCAGTTTGACATTGAAGACGATCAACACAAGATTCCGTGCAACTGCGGTGCTCCCAACTGCCGCAAATGGATGAACTGATACAGTTGTAGCCATATAAGTATTTTTACCATTTTTTTAAATTTTTAATTTACATTTAACAATTGTCGCGTCAGACACGATAATTTATAATAATAATAGTAATAATTGTTATGTTGCCCATATTAAACTGTACACAATTTCTGTGATAGGATCAAATTTTACACATAATATATATTATTCATATATTAAATAGATTTATAAATAAATATAAATAATATATATAATAGCACGTAACTAAAAAAAAACTAATGTAAATAATTTGTGCCTTAGATTGCAGCACGCTATTTTTGTAATTATTTTTAAAGTTCTATTTGAGTATGATTTGTAAATTTACTATATGAAATTATTGTATGATAATATATATTAATTGTAAATTATCGTTAGGACAAAAACAACAACAAACAATATGATCTCTTTGCATGAGACAAGACTTGATATCGTAAGTTTCTGTTGGTGTTTGTAAAAAAAAAATGAAACAAAAAAAAAAAATAATAATTTTAAACAAACGAAACAATAATTTGGGTGACGGTGTAGCTGAAATAATATAAAAAAATTAAAAGAAATTGAGTGGGCATTTTGTTTACTTTTTGTTTTTGGTTGACTTACACGGTTTTAGTCAATTCCTTATACATTTATTTTTATTATTATTATTATTATTATTATTTTTTTTTTTGTTATAAATTGATGATAGCCTACTACTGTTGTTATATTATTATTTTTTTTATTTATTCTTCAAATATTTATTTTCTTTAATATTTTAATTTTATTTGTTTGTTTTTTGTGTCCAAAAAATTTGATTTAATTTAATGCAATATTGATACACAATATATATATATACATATAATAATAATAATATTTATACCATTATTTTTCTACTTAACGACAAAATTGGTCCAATATTTTCGAAAACTTGTTAAAACTTTTGTGCATTAACTGTATATAAATATATATTAATTGTGTACGACAGATATATATTTAGATACAAACATGGATTCTTTTAAAATATTTTCTGTTTATAAAACCTATGATTTAATTGTATACATTTTGCCGTATTTTAGATAGTTTTCATTTTGTTACGAGTTAAACCAAAATATTATTTCAATAAGTTTATCTCGACTATTTACCCATTAGATATTATATAATTATATTAATATATTTTGAATTATATTCAATTTATTAGATACGGTTATTAGTTTTAGGTATGAATTATTATTTGAATTGTCACCAACAACTCAATGTTTTGAATTTGAGCTGTATAAAATAAATGATACAAATTGGCGAATTAATTACACACAATTTACTAAATGTATTTTTCTGCATAGTATATCCTATCTTTAAAATTGTTTTACTGGACGACCAGGAACACATTACATATTAAATATTTGCTATATTAAAAATTCTATTATTTAAATTTAAAAATGTGATGTAGAGGTAAATTTGACGTTATTTTAAAGTGAAAAGAAATATAAACAACTAGTCTATGAAAGAACTAGAAAGTAATTAAAAAATGAATATTGGTACTTACTTATCTCATAGGAACTAGAATCACACTGTGTCACTGTCAATACTTAATACATGGTCAAGAAGTTGTTGTTCCACTATATTCAAGTAGCTTAGAGTCTATCTATTTCAAATGTTAAATTAATATTCGCGTCCAACATAATTTTATGATGATCATAAAATATTTAAAAGAATTTTTGGCAACTGTTACATAAAAGGTGAATTTGAGCAAACGTAAAAAATGACGTATTTTTTATTCAAATGTCACATTGAGTGATACCTAGATGGCACTCAAATTAAAACTATGAAACAATTGTTTTGGAAACCTGTTAGCCATTTGTCTGAGAAAGTAAGAACAGCTTGATATCAACAGGTTACAATAGACACATTAATGTGATAACTGATAAGGACCATTCATGTCGATTGCACTCATATTTCATTCATTGGTTGTACTATAACTAGTTTACCTAACTTCTGTACTGACAGGTACATCCTGAGACTTATTTGAACGTTTGTCGGCTTTGTTAAAGATTTGATGAGGCCGCTATTGACTTATTACTCTTCTTTTAAAAAATAATGTATCACTGATAACTATTTAGATACAAAAAACTTACAAATACTCAATATTTGGTACACTATATGTCAAATCTTTGGGTTTCAGGTGTTTTTGGCATAAAGTAATTATTGTCTAAGTTAGCAATTTAAACAAAATAACGAGTGCATTTTTAAAACAATGTTCTATGGCTAATTTTCTAAAAGTTGTACTACTTATATTGCTTATCGTTTTATTAATATTAAAAAAAAACACGCCTTGTATGCCGACAAGTTTCCTCGAGACGTCCTCTTAAGAGGATGCAACATTTGTTGTCTCCGTCTTACAACTTACACGTGTACAACATAGCAAAAACTATTTAGCGAGGGAACTCGCAAGGTTAGTGAACTCGAGGGCTATAGTGATAGTTAAGCATAGATCTACCGACTAGTGGACAGTGCGTAGAGAGAGAAACAAGTGGACGAGATACCCGAGAGAGAAATAACCATGTGCGTTTCAGAATATACATACGTAGAAACTAATAATGGAGCCAAGAAAGAGCCAATTACGGAGTGACATACTCAACTTGTTTTTTATCATTTAAGCCACTGCTTGGATGTAGGAATTTTGTACGTTTAAAAAAAGGGTCATAAAATGATTTGACACAAAGGTAAAATAAAATCCAACCAACATTTTTATTTAACACACGGGTACAGAAAGGTTTACCATCCCTGGGCTATACGTTTGGCGCGTTACAGTGTTTTCTCACTCTATCTCGTCCTCACGGACTGCTGTGGGCAAGGTGGTGTGGTAGGCTCTGTCTATTGAGGCATTGATTGATAGGTCTATGTAGTTGTGTAGACTTCAAATTGATGTGCAATATTGTTGAAAACATTATCTATGAAATGTCGTTTTTATTTTTTTGATATCTCTTACACGAAAATACTTCTCATTGTTTTAAAATTCATTATTTTTGTGTTTTTCAAACTCAAATATTTTTTTTGGAGGTTCTGACATAGAAAAATAAAAACTATATCTCATAGAGAAGTTCTGATTTTTATTTGATGAATATTTCGTTTCTTTGCTATGACTTATGACTAACCACCTCGGTTCTTGATACAGCTTTTGCCATGTTTTACATGCGGGTTATAGTCTCAAGAGGACGTACCACCTGTTGCTCCGTCTTACAAATGTGTAACAAATGTACGCTTAGCAGATCACGTGCGTTATTTTATAAATTATTGAGTGAATCGACGTATTGTGAAACTTGATGGTAAGTAAGAATACATTAACTGTGTGTACGTGGGTTTTTTAGGATGGTTAATTTTTTCAGCAAGTTTTACTTACATAATATAGCGTAATTAAAAATGCTGTCATATGCTACATTATATTTTATACATTTATTTTTAAATATCCACTTAAAATTGAATCGAAAACATTTTATTTAAAATTATATTATAAGTATGTAGTAATTAATTAAGTATTAAAAGAGGTAAATAAAAGGTTATAAAAGTATAAAAAAGTACTTCGTCGCCTTCATTAAGTTCTTCGACATTTAACATTCTTTATCTTCGATATATAAAGTATTAGCCCACATTGATATTATGTGGCTGTGTATGGATGTGAAAATATGACGAAAACAAATATATGTATGTGCTATAAATAATAATATGCCCTCTAAAACAACAAATATCCACTTAATAGCTAGGTAAAAACGTTGAAATATACAAAGTACAATTATTAGTGTTTTTATATCTCACTTTTTTTTATCGAAATCGGGGATAATGCTCGTCAGATTTCAAAAAGCTTATTCCAATATACATATATGCACTCATGTAAACCCGGTCCCTATTCATAACAAACTTAAAAATTGAACTATCGTAAAAAAAAACACATACACAGATAATGGCGCACATCACACACACACACACACACATATATTCTTGCCATCAAATTCCGTAAGACTTCACTCTAATTTTTGAACTAACGAAGCTATACGCGTGACCTGCTGCAGCGCGAAAATTTGTTGTGTTACGCACTTGTAAGACGGGGACAACAAATGCCAGTGTTATGGCTTCTTGAGTAAGTGTTAACCGTCTCACAGATTATAATTTTTACAAAATATGATATAATATTTTTAAAAAGGTTTTATTATTTTTACAAGAAATATACAATCTACACAGCTGAGCACAGTAAGTGTAATATGTGAGATGGGGATAACAAAACATATGTGGGGTTACGTGAACAAGGAATATAGGATTAAGTTAAATGATCTCTACACAATTTTCTTTTGAGTCTTCGACGGGGATTTCCCGGAAGTGACGGGATGTGTTAGCCATTTATTAGAAGATTTTCGTGGTTTTCTAATCTATAATGTATGGTATAATATGATTTTAATTTTCGAAGGAAAATAGACTTGGTTCTAGTTCATATGTAAACATGTGTGGAGGAAAACTGCAAGTATTTTCCTATATTTTTGGAGGAAAACCGTACTCGTCTCATTTTCGGAGGAAAATAGTGCCACCCATTATTATTATGAGTAGCCAGTGGGTAGATACTTTACTGTTATTTTTAATAGATACTTTCATAATAATAATAATCGGTACAAATCAATAGTATTACATTGTTAACGTGCGTTATGACGTGAACAAATAAAATCGTAAAAATTACAATTGTTTGTCCGGATTGTAGGTGCCAATTATAATATTGCCCGCTGAGTAAAAAACATTTACGAAACGTATACAACATAAACAAGGTTTTTCTAATAATAAATGTCTGTTTTGTGTGCACATTTTATTAAAATATTTATGTATCCACTATCCAGAGCATTCGAAATGGCACAAATGTTGACATGTTTGACGTATGGTGACAATAAATTGTCAATTTTGAAAACGCATAAACTCGAGATCGATGAACGTCATTAAAAAAAAAAAATTATTCACGCCGTTAAATATAACATACATATCAGTATAGTTTAATTGCTGGTGGATAATACCTGTGTATGGGTATAATTACCGTATAAATACTATCGATTGTGCCGAAATGACCTTTTTACCTGTGAGAAATCTATCGATTTCGCTGTGCCGCCGTGTATCGACTCCGCCGAATTTTTTTACATATTGATTCTGCCGGTTATTGATCCGCTGAATATTTGTAAAATATTTTAATACTTCATTACACGTAACCTAACCAATAACCTGTAATGACAATGTGTGAACAAAAAGTGTACCACAAAAATGTATGTTGATCGTTGTGACATAACGATGATCGTATAGGTTAGGTTTGGTTATTTCAAAAATAAATCAACTTAACACCAATTAACCTGACAATTTTTATTTTCAATTTTGTAATAAAAACCAATCACTAGGTGCTTGAATCATATTATTTTACTATTTTTTTCAAATTTTACATTGTATTTAATTGCTTTTTTTGCCATTATATATGTATTATAATTGTGTTATATTTTCTGTTGCGGACGACAATGTTTGAAT